TCATTATCTACTAATATTAAGAGGGGGGGGGGGGAAGAGTGATCAGAAAACAAAAATAAGAAAGAATCCTCAATAGCTTAAAATTCTTTTAGGCAGAATTAGAGTAAATTAATCTATGAGAGCTTTTTTTCTTTCTTACTAGCTATATTTTTGTGCACCAGAAATATTGAGCGTGGGGAGCATGTATACCAGATTCGATTTTATTACTCATCAGGATCTCTAGCAGCCTACTCTCAAATTGAAATTTTTTAGACAGGATTAGAGTAAATTAATCTACGAGACCTTGGGTATAGTCAAATATATCAATTGAAAGGGTTTGACCTCCGGAGTCCAAAACTGTAATTAGATCTCAAATTGGTCAAGAGATGATGGAGGTATGAGCTAAAAGTTTGTACTTGAAAAAAAAATCCCAAAACAAACAAACTCAGTGAATTCAGTTCAGTAGTTTCTCACACAATAATACTAGAGTTCTGTGGTGATAAGCAAAACAACAACTACTTATTTAGATAATAATAGCGGCAGTGAAATAACAATATAAAACGAAGACCATTACAATAAGATAGAGAGGTACTATTCAGAATAAACTCAGAAAAATAAAAACGAAAAAATTACATTCCAAGTTACAAAAAAACTATGTGCACAGATTGGGGTGAAAATACACGTGCCATGACCTTTTACACAGTGTATTCAATATGGTATGTATTTGAGTCACAGTTATCAACTATTCATTTTACCCTGCTTTGCTGATTTAATGACAGTTTGTGGTAGAGGACATTAAATACTAGATATAATATACAGGAACACTGAAGAAACTGTAGGTATAAATTTTGGAGTTCTAGGGATTATGCAAATAAATATGCAACTGAAAGGTGCAAACTGTAAAAATAGACAAAAGTATTTTTATTATTTACATGAACATTACCTCGTACTCTGACTTGTCAGAGTCTGAGACAGATTGAAATAATCAATTTACAGACATACCTTGAGTACATATACTTTTGTAACACACCTGATTTTTTTTATACAACAGATTTGCACATATTAAAAGCTTACCACATTTCATGTAGATACATGTAGTAAATTTGGTTAACTAACATTATATTAATTTTTCACAAAGTTACTCAGTTACTTATTCACTGATTTCAGTGGTAATAAGAACTTAATTGCACATACAGTAAGTAAATTTTAGAAGATGTAACAGAATGTAACTAATCAATATTTTATCTTTTCTTGTCTTCATAAGATTCAACTACTCGCTATCTACTATTGCTGTACAGATACATTATTTAATATGTACAAGCTCTTCAGTGGTTCCATAACAACGAACGTGTGATCACGTATATAAGAAACCTTTTTTATTGTATAATAGAACCATTGATTAAAAAGCACTCACCAAATGGAAGCTCGAAATGAGCTTCTACCAAAATGCTATGTCCAGTTGGTGTCTTTGTGCCAATTATATCACCTTCATTCATCACTAGCTCTGCATCCAAGGATAGCCACTGGCCTTCTCCTACCTGAAACCATTTATTGATATTAGAAACTGGATAATGTACATATACACTTCTAACAAAGATATTTACAGAATAGAGAAGAAACTAAATAATGCATGTTGAATATTCAACAGATCAAACCAAGATCAGTTTCATCTCTAAATATATTTATTAAACATGTGTGTTTTTCAGTTTCACACACAGGTGTTACAAATACACATTCCAGTACTGCTGATGGTGAGTGTAATCATCTTAATACAAAATTTTTGCAGATGATGACATTAAGTGAATCGTTTACAGTCGTTAATATATATTTGATGAGATCTCACGTTGGAACAATGTACGAGATCTCAGCAACACTCTTGTGACATCTCATATGGGAGGTTAGTCTCATTTGGGCATGGCATGCTCTGCCACAGATGTTGCAGGTGTAAGCATTTATTGGCAGTAATATTAAATCAGCCACCTTTTTTTTTGGTGCTTTATTTTGGTATTATAGATAAGTTAGTTGTTTATTATCTTGAGACCTTCATTGTATGCTGTTTTCTCACTTTGTCCAATCTAAGGCCAACTCCTCCCACGTACTTTCATCTATATTGCATACTAAATGGGTCTTTAAGCACATCCTTGTAGCATCTTTGGGGCTTCTGGTGTGGCCTTTTTCCTGTTTTCAGCTGGCCACACAGCAGAGCTTTAGGAATTAGTTGGTTATTCATGTGAAATAGATGTTATGCCCATCAAAGCTGTGCTTTCATGATTAGGTTTTCCATGCCAGTGACCGAGCATCTCTGCAGAAACTCGGTGCTTGGGATTTTTGTCTTGTTATTGAACTTTACAAATTTGGCATACACATACAAAGAAATTTAAATAAGTAGAACCTAAAATGACTGTTAAATGGTATAAGTAACATGTTTGTTAATAAATATTAAGTACGAATAAAACTGATCTGTCTTAGGAAATCACTTTCACATTACAATTGATATATATTATAAAGTTTCCCAACCTTTTCAGGTAACTCTGAGTAAACTGATATATTTATTAGTCCTACAGTTACCGACGAAGTCCATAAGAACCTCATAAACTTCTTAAACACATTTCCTAAGCTAGTTATGCACCAATTTGATTGTACACTGATGAATTTGTTACTTACAGGATCTCCTATGCATATTACATATGAAATAAGTGGTGTTATTTAATTTTTCAGTCAATTCATTATATTAAATATTATATATATAGGAACAAACATGAAAGTAATCAGTATGATACAGCACATGGACCCACTGGTAGTAAATGGTATATAAACAAGTCAGTAATTTGAGGGTTAAGGTCACAGACCTCCACACAGATAAATTTAAGAATTTTTTAACACTTCAGATTATTAAGCCTAATTTTGGAGCTTAATTTTCCAGACTGTTTTCTCAACAAGATGCAACTTATATATATATCTATTACTAACCTTTTTATAAGTTACTTACTTCAGTTATTTTATAGCAATCACAAACATTTGGGGAAAGTGTTAACATGTTTTTTTTTTCTCCTACCTTGAATTATGTAGCTAGTTTAAGCAAGCTATCATAAAGGATTATAATTCAGTTTATGTTTAAGTTAAATTTCCCCATTTTCAATCTAGTACTTGTTTTAAACATTTTGTCATTTATGCATAATTGAATTTAGAATCTTTACATAAAAATTATGAAAGTCTAACTCATGAAATGAGATCTAATATAACAGAATGAAGTTAAATAAAATTTCGCCAATGTATTTATTTTCAGGTAAAAAAACCTGGGTCAAAGTGCATGAACTTTGCAATGAACTGAAAACTTTGCATTGGCAATTTTTAATTATTCTTTAGACTAATCAATAAAAAAACAAATATTAAGTATTTTCCACAATTATTACTTTACTTCATTAGAATATGAGATGGTTCTTATAAAATGGAGTAGTAAAAACTTGTTGGTTTAAAACAGGTGTACAGTCAGTAGACAGGAACTTCATGAATAGAAACATATTGTTGATAAACCTTAAGTTTAATACTATGCAATATACACATTCTCAAAACTTATTTTTATATTCAAATCTGAACGAATGCTGTCAGCACAATACAGTTTATAGTGAATGTGAACAAAAAGCTATCAAACAACAGCCGGGTATTAAAGTTACTTACTTCATTTGAATACTGAACACTCATAAGAGGGAGCCACTGACTTCCCATAAGTTTGTCCCACAGCATTCCCTTGTTCCAGACTTCAATAATCAATCCTGTGTCCATCCGATTGGTTTCACTAAAACAAGATGGATGTAAAATATGTTACAGTAATCTTTAAAAGACATATGTCTATATTATTTTTTGTTCCTCTGATACAGATGTCTGGTAATCTATCAATCATATAATATATCTTTATATGTTAACATCTATAAAGCAATCATCAAAGGTACTATTACAAAACTAATTCAATGATTATGCTTAACATAAAGTATGATAACAAAATTTAATTTCCATAAATCCTGCATACATATATATCAGCGCAATTAAATGAAACAGGGAAAGTCTGAAAAGGAAAAAAAAATCCCATTTAACCATGAAAGTTAAAATACAGCTGTAAAAAATAATACATCTTTGAAGGCTTTCATTGAAAATATATACACTGTTTGAATTTGTTTGCTTGGTTTATGTTTAAATACATTTCTATGTAGCATTTAAAAACCTATGTATATTTTCACCCCTCCATTATCATATGAAAGAGTATTAAGTAATCAGTTTATTTCCTTGGTATGATCTGCATTTCAGAATGATTCATTTTAAACATTTTTATTATATTCTAGAATTTACCTTGATTTGATTTCAATAACATGTAAATGAGAACTTGCTCCATAGGATTTATGTAGCAAGATGATGGATGCAACATTGTCAGGATCGCATATTATACACAGTTCAATGAATAAATCAGTTCAAAACATTAAAACTTCAGGTAATTCATTTTTTGTTGGTAATATTTTTAAGTTTCTAATATATATATATCCTACAAAAAAGATCTTAAAAGATCTTTAAATAGACTCTCCTGTGAAGCTTTGACTACAGAAGTTATGTTTGTGAACCATAAGTATATTTTAAACAAGCTTACAACATGAAATCTTGCTCCCAGCTGGGATTATTTCCCTTGACTGCAACAGTCGTTGATTTTACATTCTGTAGCTTCAAAGTTACATAGCTATTATATTGACCTGTTGAATGAAACAGACACAAGTTATCTAATGTTAAGAACAACACAATCATAAATGCCTGTATGTGCATGTTGGGTGTTTGTCAGAAATTGTTCAGTATACACAATGTCACCTAGTTTTCTCTTAGATGTATATCAATAGACAATCAATCATTCACTGACATTGTTATCCCACACGAACAGTATGTTAACCTGGAATACACTTCAAAAGACAACTAGTTACTCATACACTACATAAAATGTGGGCTATGCTTTGTTATACATTCAGCCTTGATCCCACATGTGTATAATATTTCCTACCCTGCACATTCTGCATAGAATAACACAAAACAAAATTTGTTATATGGTAAAAAAAAAAATCTGAGAAACAGTTTCAAAGAAAATCATCACAACAAACACAAACATGAGATTCTTTAGTACATTATTCTTAAACAAATATTTCTACAGGAAGAAAGAGAAAGGAAGAGAAATAGCTAATAACTTCACAATAATAAGTAGACCACAATATTTTACACACTTGATACTAATTCTGTTTATATTCATAACATCAAATATGTCATAATTATATTTTTTTTAGTAACATTCAAATAAGCCTAAAAAAGAGTCTAAGTTATTAAATGTGAAATTTTGATGAAGATAGACAATAAAGTAAGTTTACAGTAAATTTTCCTAATAAATATTTATCATTATAGTAAAACTGTCTGTCTGGAAATACAAAAGTTTTAAGTGAAAACAAACACATATTTTAACTTGAAAATTGTATTAAACTAAAATATATATATACTTATCAGATTTCAAAATAAATTTACAAGTAATTCATATTTCAGAACCAACTCGTGAAGTTATACATATTATGATTTAGAAAAATTATGTAAAAGTTTCAGTATTTCATGATAAGAAATTTGGAATAACTTCAAGAAACAGAACAAACCTAGTTCAGTTTCTGGTATTTTTAATATTAAAAACTGTGCACTTGTTTAATGTATATTCATGTGTTTATGTGTGTGTGTGTCTAACATATTAAAAGCCATAGAAATATACATATTCAATGTATTTACAAACACGGTTAAACTCCTTCTGAGTGTGTATGATAGCAGTTGTTAAAATATATATATATATATTCGTCCTTCTCTTTTATGCAAACTCCATTTCTGCACCTACAAAGAGTGTCCTGTAACCTAAAGAATTAAGTCAGCAATACTTTACTTCACATACCAGTAAACAGTGGTGAAATTAAAAACCACATCGGTGAAAATACATGCACTTCTACAGGTACATGTATCATGGCCAACTGCAGCTGTTGTTTGAAACATAACACACACTCAAAATCACAAGTGTATAATATCAATAGTGAGCTTCTGCCTAAAGAAAAAAAAAGTACAAATCTATAATAATAAAAGAGCCTGTGTGTGTGACTGCCACAGCTCCAAGAGGGAAGAACCTAGAGACCTGAAGCTTTGCATGCATATTGAAGGGAATCTGAGGGTGTGTACCTGGGTAGAATTTTATAGATTTGGCTAAAAAAATTTTGGACAATTTTTTTGCCCTATAGCCATTAAGCCCCATAATTCTGCTTCCTGAAGGTCTACAGTAAAGTATATAATTTTTTTTTTCAAATTCTCACTTACAGAGTAAATGATATGCGGAGGTTTTCTGCCAAATACTCTTTTTCAACAAAAACATGGGAAGGGAAATACAAAATCTGAAAATTAGAAAAAAAGTTTAATTGAACTAACTTAAGGAAATGGCAACAAACAATGGGAAGAAAAATATAAATCAGAGAATTGAAAAGAATTCAAATAAAATCACAGGAAGGAAAAAATTAATCTGAGAAGCTAAATTAGACTAAGGTTTTAAAAAGAGTCGAAATGAATTTAGTTCAGGAAATGGCAACAGACAAATCAATTAAAGAATTGGCACATTAGGGTAGTTATAGAAGTAATTAGGATAATGGAGACACTTTATTAGTACACTGAGGTCTCTGTGAACTATGAGAGGACCTTAGGACTTCATAGCAGAGCATAGGTATTTTATGCTAGCATGTAAAATTCATGCAGGTGTAGGGCATGTACAGTGACAAGAATACATTTTACTGTATCTAACAAAAGGTTTTACAGTTTATATGAAATAATTCAACAGTTTAATCAAATGTGGAAGTTGGAAGTAAAAAAAAGTAAACTCGGGTACTGTTACACCTCAAACGTGGAATGATATGCACTGCCCTTATTAAATAAAAAAAAAATAATGAAGTCCAAAGAAATGAACAGCAAATATATCATGTAATAGAAAGAATAATGACACGGAATACATAAGGTGGATACGGAGCACACATTTAAATACTATGCAATAAAAGCAGCAGAAAAAAGATCAGTATCTTAAGTAGAAAGATTAATGTTCATGACGTAATGCAAATGTCCCCCCCCCCTCCCAAATCCACTAAGATTCTCAAAAAACTATAGATTTCAAGAGAGAGAGAGAATGGTTTTTAATTCAAGGAATGGGCATATACTATAACTTATATACTTCAGACAGACAAACATTTAATGTAGTATCAACATGTCTTCTCTGTGAGCAAGATGTATTGGAGCATACTAAACTGTAGCCTTATTGTACATAGGATAAAATCTTTACCAGTAATTTTTGGACAAATAAAACCTATTCTTTGACATTCAGCATACAAACCAAATCAACATTGTGATTTCAGAAATACTAACAATGTCTTTGGGTTTAGAGCTCCCTATTAACTGCATTGCATCTTTTCTTTAACTTTAACCCCTATAAAATCAAAAGAAAGACACAAATCCCAGTATACTTACTTTAGTTTGTGGGTGTTGTCTTTGTTTGTTCATTGTCAAGCACAAAGATACACAATGGGCTATCTGTGCTGTGCCTACCATGGGTACAGAAACCCAGTTTTTTAGCATTACAAGTCTTCAGACTTAGCAATGAGAGGCTTGAAGATTGTCACAAGATATTGTTGTGCAAAGTTTTATGTGGATTGGTTGAAATATAGAGGAATGGCAGTTCAAAAATCCTAATTCTGTAAAATGTTTGTAATAATAGGAATGAAACATAAGAAATACTCTTGTGTTTGGTTTAATTTTAAAAATACAATGGTCTTAATTTGAGTGATACAGTTCATTACAGAAAATATATGCTCCTGATGAAGACATAAAGCCAAAACGATGAGCAAGTAAAACAACTTTGAAAGATTTTCCAAAGGTTCCTCATTGTTTTGTTTATTCCTAACATATCTTTCTCCTTAATGGGAGAGTCAAATATCAATTTCACACACTTTTATAACAACAGGTAGCCAAAGAACAATATATATAATCACAAGGAAAAGTTTTATTGATGGTGGAACATACTACATGTTTTTAAAGAACACTGGTCTGTCTTCTTCAGGTATAATCAGTACTAAACAATACAAGATTTATATCTCATTACAAATACAAAAGACACAGGAATTAAATGTGACAGAAATGGTGTTAGCAGGTGACAGGATAGAGGTAAAAGTCAAGTCCGGTCAAGTGTATGAACGGTGAATAGACCCTGCCAAATGCAGCTGATGTTGCTAGAGTCATTATCACAGTTTAGTGAGAGATTGTTTGCTAAACCACAATAATGGTCTTAGCAACATTGGCCATATTTGGCAAGGTCTGTACACCATTCATACACTTGACCTGTCACTTGCTGACACCATTTCCATCACATTTAATCCCCGTGTCTGGATTGCTTAGTACTAATCATACCTAAAGAAGATGGACCAGTGTTCTATTGAAACATGTAGTATGTTCCACCATCAGTAAAACCTTATGCTTATAGATTATTATTTGCCTACCTGTTATTATATTAGCATAATATGCTTCCTTATGCAAGTTTCATACATTGTTGTTGAAAATCCAATAAATATACTTCTAAGATCTCAGAGTTAAAAAAACAAATACTATACATTTAATATAACATTTTTTTCAAGCTGTGATACACCAGGTGCTTTACATAAATAATAGGCAATATTATAAATTGGATATTTTGTCACTGTACAGGCATTACAACTTACTGACGCAGAAGTGTTTTGTACCTCTTGGGTAAAATGCAGAAAGAAGATCTTGTACATTTCCAACATTTTCATTTTATGTTACGATTTAAGTAATAGTGAAAAGTTAGAACAACAAACACACACAAAAATTACACATATTGCATCATTCAGAATATTAAATTGTAGAAACAAAACTCCATTTTGGAATGCTTAATAACTTCACTGTACTTAAAGATTTCATGAACAATGTTAGTAAGAATACCTACTACATCGTAAGTAGCAATCAACCAGAACATCTTGATGTAACGTAGCACTAACAGGAAACATCTTTGTCTTCAAATTTATGCTAAATTGTCTATTGGATCTTTTCATTTGTGGGTTCTACAATGATAATGCTAACAAGACCAATATACATAGCTATTGTTTTGAAGAAGTCTTAAGACTTTTCTAAACCCCAACACCTACATTATGTAAACAATCTCACTAGTGCTTTCTTGGTATATACAATGTACACAGACTTGAATTCCTACTGTACCACCTACACTTAACATGTATTTAACATAGAACTTGTGTTCTTCAAGTTCAACACATAACTGTACATGCTTTAATTCCACCTACATATAACGTGCTCATCATCCTTTATGTTAGTTTGCAGTTTATTTTATTACCATACACGTTATATGTTTCCCTGGCAGTAAACTGATTCTGCAATTCTGGAGATGTAATTCACATATGTGCTCAAATGGGCAAGTCTCTAAGGATAAGGAAGTGGCAACCTAAAAGGTGTGTCATTTATTTCAAAAGTTAATATACACAGGAGACAAGAGTTTCTATATGTACATATCATTAATACACGAAGCAGGAAATGGTTAACCTACCAATATGTTAGTTTTTTTTACAAACTGGTCAGGAAACGACCAAAATATTTCAAAACATCTATACATTAGAAAGTACAAGAATATTATCTGAGTCAAAAACTAAAGTAAAATACAATATAAATGTAAGAACCTAAACAGCAGTTATGAGTCACAAAACCTTCTAAGAATATGGACATTCTAATCACACATTTTAATACATACATCATTTTCATAAACACACTAACAATTACATGTAATAGCATCAACATTCAGTACAATATGTTAAAAAGTACACGCTAAAACTTACGAAGCACAAAAGCCTATACAGGCTTGAAAAACATGATGAAACATCACATTCAAGTCATATTAAAAGTAATCCAATAATGAAAATGTATGTGAAAAGTAATATTATACTTTACAGCCAAATGAACTAGTTATCCTAATCCAACTTTTCACTCTTAAGTACATTTATCTTGAATAATAAGCTTGCCTATTTTTATATATACATAAAATCATATTATTACTTTACTAATGTGACTCGGACAAAATATTTTCCAATTTTCAAAGACTGTAGTAAGCATTTTACTGTTATTCCTTAATTGACTTATCACCATATTTCCAATGTGAGATGGCCCATAAAGTATCACATCTCTTTTTATATTAAATATTGGATAGAACTGTCCCATTTATAAAAAATCAATATATAAAACTGTTTGACTGAAAGTTGAACCAGCACTCAAAAACAATAGTTTCCCAATGGAACCTAGGTTTTTATAATGGTGCCCATTATATGAAATATAGTAAGCTTTTGGTTTATTATAATAAGATTTAATGTTATTCAAAATATTTTTTTCATATATTTGGAATTAAAATTTTAAAATGAACTTTTTATTAAAGTTAAAAAAAATCATATTACTTGAAATACAAAGGTTCATGAAAGAAAATCAAATACCCTTTTAAATCTATAAGCACCAAAAAACCACAAGTTAAACAGTTTATTAAGAAAATCAAACTGGTATATTTACGTGTTTTACACACACCAAAAATAAACCTATCATTCTATAGGTATTTGAAGAACTTGTAGCATTCCGCCACAATTTAATTCTTCGTATTGTTAGCTGACACTGGGCGGCTTGTACATAATTGAATAAGTAGAGTTGTTTAAACATTTGTTTAACAACAAGTTAAAGTTTGGAATGGTCTATTCTTTCATTGGGGTGTGTGTTTGTGAGCCAGACTAGTTATAGAGAATTCCATTCCTCATTAGTGACCCTGGACACTACCACCAATGAAATATCAGACCAAACCAAGCCTTTATAGTAGTGAGGTATCGAAAATCAAACTGATGTATTTACATGTTTTAGACTCACCAAAAAGAAGTCTGGCTCACACACCCCTCCCCCAATGAAAGAATAGACCATTCCAAGTTTATTAAGGTAACAAAATTATCTGAGAACATTTTTTTTATACATTTTTATTTGCTAAGTAATTTTTTAATTTTCTGTACATATGAACTGAAAGAAATACTTTTGTGTACTTCACAACACATGTTGGAACCAAAACTGACAATACAGTACATGTAACTAAACATCAAATTCCAAGCACATTTATCTCCCTTCACCAGTGATAATACTACTTTTATTTTGAGGGATATTATACCTTTCTCAAAAACAAAACTAACTGCTAGAAAATTTAAAAAGTTCAATGTGTTTAAAATTACATTCAATAATCTAGTAATTCAGCAGTCTATTACCAAACTTTTCAACTTTTTTGAATATTTCAACACATTAGTAACTTAATCTTATCTACATGTAATTTACCTCTCTAAGGCACATCACAATCAGCTAAATTTTGAGTCAGTTTTGTTAATAATAATTTTTAATACCTCACCAAAATTTGCCTCTCAAACTTCTCTTTACAAGAGTAGATCTTTTCTTAAAACCATTTTTGACCTTTTATAATGATGTTTGTACTAGCCGCTCTGTAACCTCTACTACATTTTTCTGTAAATGTATTTGATAAAACCTACGATTTTCCAAATTATAAAAAGAAAATGATACATTTCACCTAATTCCTATCATTACACATTTCCTATAAGCATTAAAATATTAATTGTGTACTTTACTAGATTCTAATTTTTTTTACATCTTGTATATTTTTACTTCCAAGAAGTAATTCAGATCTTTCTTGTTCAAATTTTTTTTGTTATAACACCAATAATTCATAGTAACTCTTCTGACATTTCAAATTAAAATTTGCAATAAAAACTATGATTATTTACTATTCAATTCACTTTAAAAATATTTTGTTATACCTAATTTACTGTTCTAGCTTCCAACAATGTATTAAAGATTATTTTAAATAAGCTTCACAGATGTCTTGTGTGTTAAATTATATTTTTTATCTGCAAATTTATAGACAGAAAAGTGAACCAACTGACAGAAAATACTTATATAGTACCCATGAAAGACATACAGTTGTATCAAAAGATTATTCTTTCTCCAAGTATATTTTCCTTGAATAAGATTAAAATCTCCCCAAACATCAAATACAAGTAAGTCAGAACAATGCCACTCACGTCAAATAATCTAACGCTCAATATAAATGTACAGGTAATAGCATAATTGACAACCTTACAGGCTGTTTACTCATACAAACTGTGCATGTCAATGCCCTTAACACATTAATGTTTTGCAGTTCATTCACACACACACACATGATGTGCGGGTCAATATATTTTGCACAATAAACTCTGATAGTTTATCCAGAATATTTCATAGGTCATTATCCTTCTCAAACAAAAACCTGATGCTATATTCAAACTCACAGCACACATCAAAACTTTGCATATACACTTTCACTAAATAAACTGAAGAATGACAAAATGTGCTTATTTTACACTGATTAGAAAATCATACAGATTCCTGAATTGTTGTATAAACTACCAAAAAAATTCTTAAAAATTTGAAACAAGTTTATGCTGTACACATATTTTAAAAGTTCCCAGATTAATTAATACTATACATTTTCAATAACAATGAAAAAAAAAAGTTAATGTAATTGAAGAAAATAATATTGTAGATCTTGTATAAAAACAAAAAATTGTGAAACATTGGTGACTGCTGGAATGGTGATTCACGTGGGTCAGAGACGACCTTAACTGTAAAAAACTTGAGTTGGTACACTTTACTTTGCAAACATCATATTGGTATATAAAATAATGTATCCACAATACAAGTTATGAAACAAAACTGCCCTACCCAGATTACAAACAAAACATTTGTGAGAAGTTGAAGGTTGTGACTTTCACCAGGTATTTAAATATAGGCATGCATGCAAAGGTGACTAATGAACTACTTTTATATTAGCTCTCAAACATTCTAGAAACTGTAATATACTAAGTATTCAAACAACTATAAAACAGAATTTCCTTACCACCATATCCTGCTAACCTTGCTCTTCTTACTAGAAAAGAAAAGAAAACTTTCTTTTAATAAATACGGTTTATATATATATATATATATACATGCACAAACAATACTGTGAAATCAAGCAGGATAAGAAATTAGATGAATCACGGAATAACAAACCCAATAGTCCAAGTACTTTTGAAAGGTTTATCATCCAAAAATGCTTGGGTTACAAGGGATTTCTTATTTTGTTGATTTGTTGTGTGTGTGTGTGTGTGTGTGTGTGTGTGTGTGTATGCATATATTCATATGAAATAAAAATAACTGTGTAATTTCTGAAGAATCAAGACTTGTCAATTACAATAAAATAAAACGAAAATTCACAAATCTTATAAACACAGAAATATGAATAAAATATGTGGTGATAAAGATTACTAAATGTTACAAAAGCCATTTTTCAAATAAAAATTTGAAAATAGTAATTCTAGAAAGTATCATTACCATTTCATAGCTTGCAGTTTAGACAATGGTGTAATTTCTTACATTTTCTCATCTGCTTCCTTTTGTTATGATTAATTTTAGGTCTTTCTAATATTTTCTCACTTAACCTGTTGACTGCATCTGCTCTTAAGTGCGCGCAGAATTTTTGCAAGCTGTACACCATATACAACACACTCGCATTCATCTGCTGGAGGCAGATCATACCCTATACTGTGAATCAGCAATCAGTGGGTTATTACAATATTTGAGAAAAAACAAGGAGCTCCTTGTACTATTGTGGCTGTCCCATTCATTTCGTCAACTATCCATCTGTCTGATTATATCAAGCCTTGATTTTTTAAGCATTCATCAAATCTTTTCTTGAACTCTCTTGATCTTGTTGCAGTTACAATAAATGATGACAGTCTGCCTCAAGAAATATCTAATTTTTAGATGGTTTCTGCTCTACCAAATCTTAAATATACATATCCTGGTCCCAGTATGCTTACCAATTAACACAAAAAAGATGATGCATTTATAATTTTGACCACTTTATCCTTTCTTTTCTTAAAATAAAATAATTCAAATGGCCTTAACCTGTCCTCATATGACAGAACCTGCCTCCTGAGAATCATCCTATTAGCCTTCCTTCGAACCCCTTCCAAAAATGCAATGTCCTTCTTAACTTGAGGAGCGTAAGATTGAACACGAAACTCCTAATGAGGCCAAACTAGTGGTGTGCACAAAGAAATGATAACCTCCTTTGACATAAATACAATATTCTTTTCAATACAACAAAAATTAATATTTACTTTCCCAATGACTACAGTAAACTGCCTGGAAAGCTTAAGGGACTGATAGACCAAAACACCAAGATTCTATAATACTACTGAGTTGATTCCCAACAAGGTGGTAGTTTCAGTTTAAATTATGGTAGCCCACATGAATTATCTTGCACTTAGTATAACTAAATTCCATCTCCCATTTATTTACCCAATTCAGTAAATGACCAAAATTCCTTTGTAAAACAGTAACAGTCAATAACACTCAAAAATTAATATAACCAGCAAACTTGACCATTTTGTTGATCAATTACTTATCAATATTGTTAAAGTATATTACAAAGAATAAGGGCCCCAATACAGAGCTCTGAGATACCCCACTTAAAATGCCAATACAATTTAAGTGAATATCATTTATTACAATTCTTTGATTCTGCTCCTCTAACCAATCTTTAATCTACTGAGCTAACTTATCCCTCACACACACAGAGAGAATTTTTTGTTACTACTCTTTAATGTGGCACTTTATCAAAATCTTTCCAAAAACCCAAATATACCAAATTCACACCTTTACCCTCATCAATATTAACAGTGACATATTCATACAAGGTCAAAAGATTTGTGACATTATTCTTCCAATGTAAATTGTAAGCTTTGGTAGGTGGTTTTGCAAAGCACTTTTGATTAATCAGTCTCTCTAAAACTTTTAGCACAACAAAAGTGAGATTGATGGGTCTACAGTTACCTGGCCAATGCATGTCACCTCCCTTAAATATATGTGTAATATTAGCCAACTTCCAATCTTCTGACACCTGCTCACTAATTAAAGACTCATATATTTTTAGTTTTAGTAAGTGGCTTACTTATACAATCTTTACGCTATTCTAATAGCCTTGGAAAAATTTTATCTGAGCCAGGAGTATTATATTATAATTTTTTAAACATCCCAAGCTTTCTTTAACAATTTCAGGGTAATGTATATCTATCAACTGGATCTGGAATTCTATTTACATCTTCTTTAGTGAAAACTGAAGAAAAAGAAAACTTTGGCAAGCCATCCCATAAGCTTTTATAATAACCCTTTTTTTCAAAATCCCTCACAGGCCTAATTTACATTTTAATTATGCTTACCTTTAATGCATTTAAAGAATTCTTTACTGTAGGTTTAAAATCTTCAATTAACTCTTTTTTTTATATGCATTTTTTTATGTTTTAATACCCTTTTTAACCAAATCTTGATATTCTATAATCATCCAAGCCTCTTTCTTATTAGTAGTTTTAAATTTGTGATATTTATCTTACATTTTCTTCCTAAAACATCTAATTAGTCACCCTGGTCTGTCACTTGCTGCCATCCTTTTTTTTCTATGTGGAATGTTAACATTTTCCTAAATTGAAAATGTACTTCCAATAATATTTACCTCTGCTGACACTTTTTCTTGAAATTGGCTTTGCCTATCTAAGTATCGGTCTTGCATGCTCCAGTCTTTTATACCCCACTTAAATGCTCTTGGCAATATCTGATTTGTATATCCCTCCACCCATGTCAATGTGCACTCTATTCTGACACTGTATATAAGCACCTCACTCAAATAATGTAATCACTTTTTCAAGACTTACATCATCCCAGTCACTTAGTGGGGAGAAAGAGCAGAAGAGTGTCAGTGGAGGTAAGTATTATTGTAAATACATTTTCAATTTAGGAAAATGTTATCTTCCAAAACACTTTAGATAGAATCCCACATTGAGAAGGTGGAGGGGTCAGTGAGGGCATAGTCCATAGATAAAGCATCTGTATAGAGCAGGGGTATAACCAAGATAAGAGTGGTACTCAAGTGGGGAAACTGCACTACATCCAGAACAAGTATGCTCATCACCCAGAACTTGATATTGGTATCAAGGGTGGAATAGTACATGAGTAAAGCTCATTACTGGAAAGCTATTACTGGAGGCTCAAACTGAGAACAAATCTCTCACAAAAATGCACAATGGAGAATCCATGTGGTCAGGAGAAAGTGAGGACTGAAACTGATAACCTGCTAGGAAAATGGGAGCCAGGAGGTTGATATAACTGGAATAGGCCCCATAGAGAAAGAACCAAATTAAAGAGACCACTGGAATTGATGAAATGTCTCATGAGGATATTCCCCTGCAAGAGATCTAGACCTTGCACTATTGCCTATTGGACAGCAAGAAGTTCAAAATTATGGATGCAGAATGAAAATTCATCCTTCATTCATATACCCTAGAATAACTGACCTTGACGATGCATGCTTCATCCCCAAAGTGAAGTATCTGTGAATAGATAAAGTATGGACAGAGGGGCAGTATACATTGATATACACACACGCTAATAATAGAGTTGATCTAAACCAACTACCTCTCAGAAACTAAGATGTTGCCCCTGATGAGATTAGAGGGAATCCCACAACCCCAGAAATAAAATCACCCCTTTAAGTAAGAGTCTGACTGCCTGTTCCATAACCTGGAGCTGGATGGGAGGTGCTTAGCCAGGTGTAAAACATGGTAAAAACTTGTACAACCCAGCAGAAGACATATGGTGCTGATGCTAAACTAAAGGCTAGATCCCTGAACTGCAGAACTTGATACTTGTATACAAAACATAGCTAAAGGCAAGATGAATTCACTATAAGAATGTAGAGAAATGCTTCAGCAACCACAGACTTGGGTATCCACAGACCTTGTGAAGAATGCCAATGTAGGGTGAGAAAGGACTCCATTGTGGACTGGGGATGAAAGAAGAATGGGTTGATATGAGAAAAAAATGACAATCATCTGTGAATCTCCCCTTGTCTCAGATACAAGAAAACAGAAATAAAACCCCAGAAGAATGGGATCAACTGCCACCCCACACCCATGATCAGTAATGAAAGTTGTGAAATGAAAATCCACACTCCACTGGCCAGGTGGTGGTGGAAATACCACAGGGTGAGAGGATAATGGATAATTGAATGGAAAGATCAACCTCGATACCAGAACCCAAAGTACCCATGAATCTGCATTGAAGGAATACCAGGTGTTCACGACTAGTTGTAATCTAACTCTAACTAACTCCCCCTTCCCCAAAATGGAGTGCCCATGAAATTAAGATCTAAGTCTATTCAGCTGCTAGGGCCAAAGAAGGTCAAGAGGCCGATAACAAAAAAAAAGCAAATGGGTGACGGCAATTCGCAATACAAATGCTTCTGGGATACCCGCGAACATAAAGTGATGATAAAAAGAAAACACATGTAACACCAGAGGCTACAGCAGATAGACAAGGTCCCATTACCAAGATATCTCTACAGAAGGAACAAAAGCAGCCAATTTGATCGAGGTAGAAGTCAGTAGGAAACCCCATTCATCTGCAAATTGATGAGGAGGTCCTTGATAGTTTGCCAACAATTTGCAGGGTAAGAAACACCACAAATCAAGTGTGAAGAGCAAACAAATACAGAAAAAGGTTTATTGGTTCAAAGTGATCAAATGAACCAACCTGGAACCTCACATATCCAAAATTAAATTATTTGAGTCAGTGTTACTGATAAAACTACGCCCACCTGGAGGTGGAAAGCCAAAGCATGCCAACAGACAAACGAGGGTACAAGGTATGTCTATCTCTCAACATAAACCAGAAATATCAGGTGAAGAACGAAAAACTAACTATCCCCCCCCCCCCTAACAACCATTCCACCATCAAGGGAGGAGTAGACTCAAAGGTCACAGAGAAAATCCCCCAAATCTCATAAACCCAAATGACTAATTGAAGAAAAGGAATAGAAGGTATGTGATC